TAGCGATAAGGATTTATACAAATTAATCATTAAATATATTGTAAGAATTTGAATGTCAAAGCATAGCATCAAATCTTTATCAATTTTTCAACCTAAACAATTATTATATTATTGGCGTTTAATCGCTTTCAAAATTCATTTACATATATTGGACTTCAGAAAGAGCATATCCACGGGCGATAAAGTAATGAATGTATTCTTAAATAGAAGAGAATTCAATTGCTTTTAAAAATAAATATTTTTTAAAAAGTCTTAAACAGGAAGAAAAAGAAATAGACAACAATTCGTTAATGACCGGCCTGGACGTGAGAAAAATAGATATTAAGCTGATATGTAATTTCATGATTCAAACAGGATATTTTTTGTAAAAAAGCGAATGAACATAAAAAACTGTCATATTCTTCAATAATAAAGTATAATACTTTAATTGCTTAAAAATATACGATTCTGAACATTTCAAATTCATAAATAAATATTTAATTCATATTATTAATATTTTGCGCTCAACTGTTATACTTCTATTCTACAGTTTAAAAAATAAATAAATGTAGAAATTCCAAATAATATTAAATATTCATATTTTTTTGAAATTGGTAAAAATTCGTTTCAAAATGCTTGTTTGAAATCTATAATATTTTTATTAATTTTGTTATGAAAATTATTTTGTATTATCTTATGACAAATGTAATTTGTAATTGCAATTATAATTGTATTTATTTATCCTCATAGTCAAATCCTTTGAACGATTTAAATAATTATCAAACCGCAGAGAGTAAGGCGTGAATTTGTATTGTTTATTTTTATAAATTTATATTAATATATATATTTTTTACTTTTACTTAAAATTATCTCGAATCTGTTTTCTATACAAATACAATGCATGTTGAAATGCAGTTTCCAATCAAAAAATTTTTCTTATATTTATAATTGAATTAGAGAAAAAAAACAACGATAAACAGTCAACAATAAACAATATAATAATAAAAATATTTATTAAACGATTTAAAATAATAATAATCTCTTAATATAACTAGAAAAAATTAATGTCACCTTAATGTTTTAGTTTGTCTTTATTATTCCATTCTTATAATTAATAAGTATTAATAATGATAGTATAACATTTAATTTTCATGTCTAACGAAATATAATTAAAGACTACAACGCAGTCATACTAGGAATAAAAATACTAAGATTTAATTAATAAATAATACATGAGAATTTTAGAAAATATTTTCCTTTTCTATATTAAAGACATTGCAGTAAGTACATCAAGTTTTCTAATACTTATAATAATAATACGATTATTGAGATAAAGGAAAATATATACAATAAAAAATTTATAAAAGGTTTCACATAAAAGGTCTATTATAATATTTCATATAAAAAATAACCATTACAATTTTGTCGGAAATTGTTAAAACGACAGTTTTACAATAAATGAAAGCATTCAAATAATCCATAATACCATAAAACTTAAATCGAATAATATATTTTTTTATTTATTTCAGATTTTTTAAATATTAGATCAAAATTATTTATCATCCATATCATCTTTCATCTACTTTAATTTTTAATTTTAACAAAATCTATATCAATTAATTGAAAATCCAAAACATTATGAATTATAATAATCATAATAAGTAATACGAATAAAGTAATATGTAATTTTGTCTAACTTATAACTCTTAAATTTCACCTAAAATTGTAATTAATAAATAAAATGAAACATCATTTTCATCTCATATAAATTATCTTTGACTCTTTTTACATATTTTATTAAGAGCACAATAACGATTAACGCTTTACAAGCTACTATTTACAAAAATTTCATCACGCATGAACTACATACAATTTATAATACAGACGATCGCTCCAAATAAAATATTTATTTATATTATATTATTGTATAATGAATAGAAATGTTATTTATGCAACTATACGAGCACCATTTATTGTATACCGATTAATCAATTATAGAATAATAGGGTACTATAAATACCGAAAAGAATTGCTTCATTCTAAACTTATAATTTCTATAATCGTTGTTGTAAAAATTTTGTTAGTAATGATCTATTATTAAGTTGAAAATTTAACAAACTTATATTCTTATTAATCACTTATACTAAAAACATTGCACATTATAAATTTACTGTATTTTACTTTATATTCTGTTCGGTCGTTCTTGATTTTCTATATTTTTACAGTACTTCTTAAGACTTGGTATATATAGGAATAAGTAATATCAATATTAAATTAACGTCGGAATAATAATGAATAGAAACATAATGTTAATTGAATTAGTGATTTGCTTTCTGATGGGTAGAAATTTATAAAAACGTCGGTACAATTGTGCGTGAAGTAATGTTTAAAAACAAGGTGAGGCATGATAATTTATTTCATATCTATTTCATACACAATAAGGTATTTAGCTACTTTTAAATATAAAAAAAGACAAGATCAACTCGTCCGATATAATGTAAATATAACTTAATCAAAGCGTTTTTAATTAAATTGCTTCTTTTGTTAGTCTATGACTGGAAATGTTGAGCGTCGTCTGGCTGAGCCAAGAGAAAAAACATAACAATATCTTTCTCTTAAATTATCAGTCGCCATTTTCTCATTTTTAATATTCTATTATAACGATATTCGGCGTATTAAATAACGTTTCTTATCATGATTTAATGATTAACTTATACTCTAATTCATGCACAGGGAAGAAATTACTTTTCCACAAATGTCATAACACGCGACGTTTTTTTTTTTTTTTTTTTTTTTATACAAGATATTTCTTATAATATATAACTGTACATCCGTACGCAAAAATTATTATATCATAAACACCACTTTATTGACTTTTAAATGACAAATTAAATGTCCAAAAAAGTACATGACATTGATATAATTAAATGATATTGTAATTAATGGTTGATATAGTTGATGGCAAATGTGTTAAATGAGTAGAATATACTTTTATACAAAATATTAAAAATAACGTAAATATGATATTTTACATGTTATCGCATCAATCCCGTTTATTTATTTATCACCATCAAAGTATAAAATTTACGCTAGGAACTATATTAATCAGTGCATGCGGATGTACGCACACTAAAAACATGAAAAATTGTGCTAATTCGAATTTTTGGGGTGTTAAAGTTGTACATAAGTATCAAACAAATTACAAACATCCCGCCGTCGTATTTTAGATTTATTATTTTTATTTCTATCTAAAAGTATAAAACAGTTGTTTCGATTATCTTAATACGAAGATAAATATCTTCAGTTAAATTTATTTATTTCCACGGTTGAACATACACAATATCATAACATTACACGAACGAATGAAAAATAAAGAAATCGTATGATTTTCATTTAAATAATAATTATTTAATATACTTTAAGAAAATTTTTATTAATTGACCATTGAAAATATTATAATTTATTATTCTACGATTTTTTTTTTTAATTACTACTCTAACAAAACAAAACATTAAAACGATCATTTTTAATATCTTATATTTCGCACAGGTATGTGTAAATATATTACTTTGTTATATTTTTCAGAGACTGAAAATTTACTATTTTTCAATTGTTATTGTTTCCGATGATTTTGATTTTAAGTTTTATATAACATTTTCTAACTAATAATAACTAAAATTCTATAATTTATGTTGCTTATAATATTTATTATTTGTTACGAGATCATCGCCCTCTCATTTCCTAATTCAGCCGTCGTTGTGTTTTATATATCACATTCCACGCATCTTAATCGACAATTTTTTTCATTTTCTATACTAAAAAAATAGTCAGTAGTATTACGTTACTACCGTGTTTTTCTCTTTTGTAATTCAATTATTTAAATACTAAATGACGATTTTCTTACATTTTTTCGATGGATTTCAGTACACTTCTTTTCAATCATTATTTTATTTTTACCCTCATATTTTACGCACATTGATATTAAATAAATAATGAATGTATGTAGAAGTTTATTTCGAACAAAAAAATTTTCAACAACGAAATTCGCATTTAATAACATTGTTATTTTATTTAACATAACAACACCTTAGTTAAAATTGTAATAAAACCGAGTGAATTAATTACAATCACTTTGCATTCATTAACATTTTTCTGCATTCACATAAGTATTGATAAATATCAAAATATAGGATAGTACTAATATGTAAGTGGAAATTATTTTAAGAAAAATTTTATTTTTAAATTCTCAAAAAACCTTTTTATAGCAATACTTTAGAAACCCAATTTTATATTTGGTTACGAAAATCTTCATATTTTAATCCTTCAATTAAAATTCAGAATAATATCAAAAGCAGATTTAGTGAAAATATAATGAAAATTTTAAATGATATATTAAATATTTATCATATTATTTCTAGCACATTATTATATTTAATAGAAGTTTTGAAATAACTTTAATGTTCTTAATAAGCAATGAAAATATAAAAACAAAAAATCATTCTTTACAAAACTATTCGCACATTTATTCTTCATTGCGTTAATGAAAATCAATGAGAATCATTTATTGCCACCAATAATTTATTAATTCGTACAATACTACACGTATTTTGGTTTACACACAAAAAATATTTAATCAAAACATTTTAAAATTTTATTAAAGTTGTTTGTCTTTCACACAATAAAACTGTTGTTATTTATAATAGTATTTAGATTAATTTATGAAATTCATAAAATTAATGATTTAGTATTGTAAATATTAATACAGTATGCATACCTTTTATCGTAAATGATAATTCCAGGTTATTTTAAATTTATTTTAAATTTCAATTGTACGAAAAAAAAAAATAGATTGCAATTTATTAGATTTATTTGTCATTGCATGATATTATTATATCATAAAAATTCCATTTTTACATAAAATATAATAAATTGCCAAATTTTTTATAATACTAAAAAATAATGTATCCCCCCCCCCCCAAGCCGCCCCAAATAATAGCGACTTCAGACAGTGAACTGTCGGCTATCTATTTTCTGCCTCAAATTGGAGACTTTGATAAAAAACAATTCGCGACCTCTTGGACAATGATGAGGAATTTACATCAGTCTCGGTAATACTACCTATTTTCTCTCAGGTGCTCCTCAAATGCTCCGTCTCCCGCCAAGAACTACTAGCGCATATGCTATCGCCCCTCCACCACTCGTTTACATCTTTGTAGTATCTTGATTTGTGCTGATCGTCATGGAGCATCGAGCAAACCCGACACCAAAAATACGTATTAATAAATTCGCCAGTGCCCTTCCACTTGAAGTATGAATTGTAAAGCTCGTCGTCGGCGTCGAGTCGGTGCAGGTATTGTGCGAGTTCCCGTGGTGATTCGAATTCATCCACATGGATGTAGGAACGATAAGGAGCACTGCGCGCATAATCGGTTGGATGAGCACCCATTACGATCGGTAATACGTTGTGCCTGTGTTATTAAGATAAATTTTCAACTTAGTTTCATTATTTTCATGCACTCGATGAAATTTTTTAAGAAGTTTAAATAGTTTATACCAGCGAATAAAATAATAGAAAAATCTCATTATTGAAATAGTATTTTCAAGGGATAAACGAGTCTAATTATTATTTATACAATTTCATAGGATGTAGAAAAATATTATATTAAATAAATTTTTTAAACAATTAAAGTAACTTAATAATGTAACTTAATAAGTAAAACTTTTGAAAATTATGATTTTCAAAGTTCCAAAATTATTTGTAAAAATGAAATGAGAGCTGAAAATGTATTGACGCAAAAATTGCTACAGTATATACATTATTATCAAGTATAACATGAAATGCACAATGTTGTAATTGAAAAGACTAACTATAAGTAATATAAGTATAAGATAAGTAAGGTTAAAAGTTATATTAAAAGTCTTTTTAAATTGTATTAAAAGATTGAAGAGAACATGAAATTTATTTTTACACGCCTACCCTCTATTTATATATTTCTAAGCTCTCAATTATAAGAGTAAATATATTTTCTTCAATAAGTATAAACTATATAAATTTTCATTAAAAGGAAATATAATATATCAGGATAAAAAAATCAACTCGACTGTTATTAGAAATATTAATCTACAGTAATATAATAATATTCTAACTGTATTGGTTAGTTCTCCTATACTGCTGTTCATATATTTATACTTAAATAATGGAAAAATTCAAGTTTATAGAATTTATATCGAATAAGAGAAGGTACTTGAATCGTAACAATGATCGAAATATTAAAAAAATTTATAATAAAACATAAAATTACTTATTATTTATTTAAATTAATCTTAAAAAAAAAGAAAAGTATATATATATATATATATATATATATATTTACCCAAGACCATTAACAAAAAACTTTTCCGTAATATAATCTCGGCAATTCGAATTTTCAAAAGCTAAATAAAATTTGTAATCAGCATCAAGCATGTCAAAGCAAGCTTGCGCTTGAGAGCGTGGACATCTCAAAGTACCGCAAGCTCCATAAATATCCACTTGAATATGTTTTGAAAGTTCCTTAGCGTAGTACATACGTTGATTACGAGGGTGACAATTTGATACAAACCACGCAACCTTAAAATTAAATATTAAGCACTTTTATAAAATTTATCATTCTATATATTATTTTAACTTATTGGAATAATGTTATATGTTATATCACTCTATTTATGATATATGATTTGCATTATCGAGAGAATTCTTATTGTTACACTTTAAAATATCATATTTTAACAATTTAAATAAATGAAAATTTTATTTTATAAAATTCATTCCAACTACAACGGCTATATTAATTACCTTTTTTGTCTTATTGGCAGCATAATTGAAAGTCTGTGGTATTTGAGTGATACTTGGATTATAATATTGCCACCTCTCGTACGGTGCAACAATGTCACTGTCTCGTCTATAAGTAGCAGTCCAATTTACAATAGCATTTTTTATACTTTGCGTATGATAAGGACATTCCAAAAAGTATAGCATCCATATCTTTAAACGAACAACGTAAATAACATTAGGAGCAATAAAAATTTGTATTCACTTATCATGAAATAACATATTGAAAACAATTATAATGTATATCAAATTTCTTTCTAATAATTTATTATTTCAACTCACAATACTCTTCAATCATATTGGTAAAGAAGAAAAAAATTTTTCTATTTTATCCTTTATTTTATAGCGCTAATGCATTTATGACATTTTTATTGCAACTTTGAAAATTAACCGACTCTTAACTTTATCATATATATAACATGAATAAAGTTAAACATTGCCCAGAATTATTAGAAAGGACAGGCTAATTATTTCTTTTAACTATTAAATACTAATAATAAATAAATAACATAAGTATAAATATATGTATGTATGTATGTATTAAAAGATTGAAATTTTTAAATTCATCATTTCACCTATAAATAAAATATATTGAATATTAAATTCATTTGATTTTATTAACTGTTTGGTAATTTATTGTCTCATATTTCATTATGCATAATACCTAATTAACAATTCGATCACGGTTCAGTAAATGACAACATTGAAATAAATTATGTGAAATGTATGAATTACCTGATTTATAAATCTTCGTCCAATATGTGTGATATAATCCTTAAAAAGGATTAAATCAGCCTCACCCGGATTATCACGAGTTATAACGCAAGTGTTCACTGGGCATCCTTGCTGGTAAAACAAATCTGGATTCATACCGTGCGGCACGTAAATCTTTTTAAAACGAATATCATGACTTGATCGATTATACTCTGGTGGAACAAACATTAGCTGAAAGTATAGAATAAATTATATTTTACAATTTTTTAAATTGTACTTTTTGCAAAAAAAAATTAAGTACTTTATATTACCATACCTGATTCGTTACACGATCGTCAAAAGAATCTTCTTCTGGCCATAAACGAGCAATTCTTTTACCCGAACGTCGAGATCTCAAAGCAGGACTTGGTTGTCTTTGTCCCCCTTTCATATACCAAGGTCTTTTTATCGGATCACTCAAATCAACTATGTTTTCGATAGTATTGATCGTCCCGGTTAAATTCGATATCTAAATAAAATAAGAAACGTATACATATAACATTGCTAACATTCGTGTAAGCTATAATATTAATGTCCTTTCATTCTATTCAGCTCTTACTTATAAATAATAAAATTTATACATTACCATAAAAATTATAAAACAAGTAAATCTCTATAAAATAACAATAAATAACGTCGATTAATATTAATGCTGAGGTGTGACTTTTTAGGTGTTGTATATTAAGCATATTAGTATGTAATATTTATAGCGTTAATATTTAAAAGTTTTTGTGCTCTATATCAAAGTGATAAAGTATGAGAACGGCATGAGTGCAAAGTGATAATTTATACAAAATTACAACTATTCCTATATTCATAAGAATTATAACGCATGATTAAATAAGAAAGATATTTCAAATTAAATTTAAAATAATAAATGCCTTATTTTTACAATACATAAATTGAATATAAAATAAAATTAATTTCTGCTTAATATTATCTACTAAAAACTAGAAAAACTAGAAAATATACTACTAATTTATAAACTAATTGTACTAATAATTGTACTTCTCTAATGTTTTAAGCTGATTGTATTTAGGTACAATAATTACTTTTATATCTAATCTAATTTTGGCATGTTCCTAATTTGCGCTAATAAAAAAAAAATGCATCGATTTGATTCTTAGATTAGCATCTAAAATGAGAATATAAAAATGTAATTTGACCGTTAGGGTCGATTAATCCAAGGCTCTACTGTACAATCATTTACGTGCTGTATTGTAGTTGAACTTTAGGTTTCCTTTCTCGTATTTTGTACGTGAGACTCCACGTATGCAGATATTAAGCACTCTCAGCGTCACATTGTTACATAAACTGGGTACTCATTTAAAATGTTAACTACACGTAATTATTATTTAAAATTAAAAAAATATTCATTAACGATATCATCGAATACTACGTCCCTAACGTTTTCATATATTTCACACACACACCATAACATAAATATGAATATATTTAATAGCTCATGATTTTACGTCGGAACATTGATTTAAACAAATATACTTAAATTATGTTATGTGCCGAACATAAATTATAACTTAAAAAATTAATTCATACTATTAAATATAAAGAATAATATACAATGTATTTTATTTAACATTGTACGTGAATTTGGTTATGTAAATCGAATTTATAATTTTGATTCGACGGTATAACTTTAAAATAAAAAATTTATTCTATTTTCATACCAATAAAACTATGAGTAAAATTACTTTTCATATTATATTTAATATATAATTTAATATATATAGTATTTTTATAAACCGTATATATTATAGTACTTACAATTGAATATGATAAAAAAAAATACGTATGATATATAAGCATAACGTAGGGAATCTATGAATATATCTAAAAAAAATTTTCACTTCTAGATCAAATTTAATCTAATATTTATGTGGGAGTGATTAAGAATATAGTTATTTCATTTAAATATTTATCAATGTAATAAAACTATTTTCCTTATTAATATTTAAGCCATATGAAAATAAAAAACAAATAAATTACTGAAATCTAATAATCCATTTTATACGATTAGATTTTATTTATTTTATATATTAGATATAATTTATATATTAGTGTTTTAGTAGTAAGATATATATAAGATACATATAAGTAAGATGTAATATATTTTATATATTAGAGCTTTTGTGAAATAAAATTTTGTGAGAAACCTTTTAATCGTCAAATTATGTTATTATCCAAAGCAAATAAGCTTTAATATTAAAGTTTCAATGCTTATGTATTAATGACTGTAGAAATAAAAAATTTTATGATATTTATATATTATATGAAATATATATTTATACAAAAGATACGCTGACTCAAAATGTAGGAATTAATTTATTTAAGATAATGATTAATTATTTTTTGCTCGAAAAAATGTAAAAATTATCGATTTAACGAACCCAATATTATAAAGAAGAAAAATATATTTAACTTAAAACAAAAATTTCCAGATTATCAGACTTGAGATACTATGTCATTTTTACTATATTTACTAGTATAAAATTTAATATAATTAAAAGGGTTTGTACAATAAAAGTAAAAAGAAAGAAATTGTTTTAAAAGTCTTAATATTCTTTATTTAAATGAATATTAATAAGAGATTATTTGACGTCTTCTATTTAAATAATGGCCACTTATAATGCTTTCATTTAATGTATTTTTATTATCAAATACGAAACTTCAATTCAACAATTTATATAAAATTTTTAACGAATTTGATAAAACAACGTCTTGATGAACTTCAATATTTATTACATTAAGTATTTACCACTTCCTATACCATTTAACTAAATCGCTTTTAAATCCATGACCAGTATATTAGGCCTAGTTTACCTCGATCTCCCTATATAACGTTAATGATCATCACCAAATGTAGTGATTAAAAAACTTAACGATTGTTTCAATAGCTTAAAGTATATGAGCAGCTTTAGAAGAAAAAAAAAATATATATATATATATATATATATATATATGCGACTGATACGCATAGATCGACACTTGTATTTACAATGTGATTTTAAACAAGTACCCAAAGCTATGTACACAGCACTAAGTTTACCTCAAATGGAAGTTTTTTGTGAGCGGGTCTCGCTCGACCTGTCATCGTCATCTGCATTGTTGTCACAGACCTTGTAGGCCCCAACAGCTGTCTGACCTGCGTTACACGAAATTCACCACATGAAAAACAACCGAACTCGAAAGTGGCTATTTCTACTCTCTATGTTTTCTCTATATAAATCTAGTAAGTCAACGCATTATAATGTATTTAACGAAAAATCTAACTTGTCGAAGATTTATAAAAACAGTATCAGAATTGAAATATCGAATTGTATAAATTATAAAACTGGCTACTGAACTTCGCAATGAAGAAGGAAAAAAATCTGTTATCCATATTCCTTCCTGATTATCGCATCATTTCTTAATTTGTAATCGATGATTTATATGCGAGAATTTTACTAGAGGACGTGTAATACACAGAGGGATGATTTATAATTCGGGACATTGATGAGGCACGTTAATAACAACGCTAATGATATGACTAATCGCACAACCGTAACTTCTGTTTCGTGTCTCATACTCAATTAAAGCTTTCGGTTTTAATTAATACACACTCCATAAGCTAAAGTACAAACACTTTTTATCAAATTTTTATATAAAATTAGTGAAATCACTTTGATTATAAACTCAATTAAATTTAATAATATTTTTAATTAAAGGACTGGGCATGATTAATGCGCATTTGGTTTTATTGAATATAAAAATTTAAATTGGCTCAAACAATTATTGTGCTGAGCAATTTTATCTAAAAACAACACATTAATGTGATACTATAAGAATCTGTTATCGATTCAATAATAAATGAAAGTATAATTATAAACAGCTATTATAGATATAAGCAAGCAAACCGAAATACAAACTATAATAATAAGTGTATACTCGATGATGATTGTTTGATTAATTGACTGAAAAATAATAGACTAAATTGAAAATCTTGTTCTCTAAATTTATTGAATAATTACTATACCCAAGGAAACAACCCATTATTAGAATATATGCAAGGTTACTGATCGATATTTTGGATTTAATTTATTTTTAATTGGTTAACATTAATATTGATGGAAGTTTATTAATAGAATAAGAATAAGAATTGATATTGACCTATGAATTATATCAATATGTATGTATATATATATATATATATATATATATATATATGCATGTATGTATGTATACTATTCACTTATATCATTTTTTCATATAGTTTTTTTTCCTAATATTAGTTCAAAATTTAACTATATTCATTTTAATTATTATAAATACGTAAATTAAAAGTATATTTATAAACTAGAACTAATTTCGCATTCTGGACAATAGGTAACTTGATATATATATATATATATATATATATATATATATTAGTAATTTAAATTAATGGATAATATTTATTAAGGACAATAAATTTATAAGAATTATATTATTATAATCTACGAAAAAATTCAATATAACTATTTGAAGTCATTTACTTCTAAAGGATTTGATATATTAAAATAATTATAAAGTTTAAACATACATGATGTTTTACAATCTTTATTATATTTATTATATATTTATATTATTATTCTCAGCCATCTATTAACTAATTAATTAATTAATTAATTAATTAAATAGTTAAATATTTCTGAAATATTTAATTCACTACGTTTATGTTTTAAAAAATGTATAAGTTATCTAAATAGAAAGTTTGAAAACAGTTATTAAGTTGAATTAACAAAATTAAATTTAATAAAATTTTTTTAGACAATAATTTTATTAATTTATTTTTTAATTAAAATAATTTTATTAATATTATAATTACTTAAGAATTTTTTGTAATTTATTGAAAAACAATAATATATTATTCATTGATTTGTAATATAGCAAAAAGAAAATTAAATTGTGAATAAGTTACTTTTCATTTTTATTTTAAAAAAGTACTCTGAACAGATTTTTCATAAGTAATTTTCAAAATTGCACTAATATATTTAGTATGTGTTGGATCGTCAGTATTTTGTAATCATTTATTTTTAAAATAAATGAATAATAATTTTAATTAAGCAAATATAATTATCTTGTCTTAACCTATTTTAGGCAACAAGTTAAAAATGTTATTTTAAAATACATATAACATTTTCTTACAAAACAAAATAAGGATTATTTTCTATTTATAATCCACTTATTAAATAATATATTTTATTACAAAATGGTTCATATTGAATGGTAAATTTTTTCACTGTAGTAATATATTTTTTTTAACATTTTTATCCTATTATTATTTAAAAAATATTCTTAAAAAAACAGGAGTTTTAACTCTTCGACGATTTGAAAGAATTAAATTTTTTTTTAATCCATGGATGATAATCTGAGTATATATGAGTATATATTTTTAAAAAATTATATAAAATAGTAATAAAAACATATCTTTTATCTATTTCTAATCTATAAAATATTTAAAAACTTGTATATAATTTAAGATTTTTCTATTGATTTTTTAGTATTATGAATTAATTTAAAATAGATACAATTTTGTTTTTCTTTATTTTTGAAAATATATGTTCTTTACTTTAACTAATTTGCTATTTTATAAATGAGTAATTATGTACCTAAAAGAATAAAGTTATTTTGAGTAATATTATCCCTAATATTTTTGTTTCATATCATTAGACATTATTATTTCAGTAATGTTGAAATAATATTTATACATCTGTATTTTTTTGTATTTTATCTCTTTATTATAACTGTATTATATCCAATAATGTTTAACTCCTTACACGTTTAAGAAGTTGTAATTTATACACTCTGAAAATATAGAAATGTGTTTTTCGTATTTGCTCAGCTGCAATCATACTTACATTTTGCAGGTGTAACTACTTTGAAAATTTTATATTTATATAAGTATATAAATTTATATGAATACATTTAAATATATATATATATATATATATATATAATTTATAAATCAATCAAATTTCTTGACTTCAGAAAAATTAGTCTAACTTTCTAAGTAGTTGGATACTTAAAGAATGTTAATATAATTTTTGTGTGTGTGTGCGCGCGCGCATATAGCTCATAATAATTCCTCTGGATTTATGTATACGTATCACAGACTGAATATTATAAAATTTAGAATAATAAATAAAGCATGCTAGAGGTAAAGTTCCTGAAAAATATAAATATTGCCCACTCAAATTTATACTTACGAGTTATTATTTTAAGTATAACATTTCGATGATGTAAATCAATTTCTAGGTGTTATAGATTGAAAAAAAAGAGGTCAAGGTAAAATTATTATAAGTGTGCATAAAACGTTGGCAGCTTATGCGATAAGATAATCCTTACAGCGCGAAACATGTAACGGTATGTGATTACTCACTTTAGTGCTATCGCCCATCGGCCTGACCGCTTGGACTTGTTCCGGTCGCATGCCGTGCCAGAACTCCTTTTGCCGTACATTCACAAGGACGAGCAACATCCCTGTGAGGCAGACGATGTACAGGAAGCATCTCTTGAGCGATAAACGCGGCAAAGCCATGCCGCATTTGTACCACCGCGACCCGCAACGATCCGTGTTCCAAAATCGTATCCTCTATCTGTCTAATGGGCGAGGCTCAGCCCAATCCAAACCATAACTCTCATGCTCCAGCAACATTCGAATGGTCGGCTCCTTAATAATAGTAACTGACCCTTAATTTCTTTCGATTTTTTATTCTTTAATTACACTGCTTCTATTTCTTATGTATTCCCAAAACGAGTTAACCGTTTGAGAAACATGCGCACATAATTAATTGATCCAAGTATCTGAAATATATCAAATATATTCTACCGATAATAATTCATTCGTTCAACGCAGAATTCATAGAGTGACGTGCGTGGGCTCTAGTATATTAAAAAATAGTTATGATAACAAAATAGTAATAATTGCAATTCCTATCTTTATCAAGATAACAGTTAATCTTTATTCTAGTGTTTGTGCTCACAGTACTTTTTATGATAAGACTAAGATCATAATGATAGCACTAATTTAAATGTAAAGTTTTCTAAAAAAAAATTACTAAGAAATGTTTCACACAACAATATAACATCAAAATTTTCTCGGTATTACTAAATATTTAAGTCTTTGTTTGTAAAAATTGTAAGTTTGCTTTACATTATGTAATATATTTTTTGGAGAATTGTAAAAAAAATTTAAAAATATACCATATACTTGTACTTAAAATACTTAACATTTAGAAAACATGTAAATTAATATCTACTGATTAGTACTAACTATAAATAAATATTTATGTTTAAATAAATTATTTATGTTTATATATATTGTGATAAAAAAAATGAAATAGCAATATAAATATAAATACTATTGAAAATAATTAAATATAAAAATGTTATCTTAATTGGTTATTATAAATTATATAACCTTAATAATAACGACTATCTCTTATATACTATTTTTAGAAAAATTAAACAAGAATGTCGTTGTTTGCTACGATGGCAATACAAATATTAATGAAGTTATTTGGTTCTAAAATTCTAACCATATTATTATATAACAAGATAAGATTTTAATTTCGATTCAATTTAATTTAATGCAGAAATTTTATAATAAATTTTTTTTTTAATATTTAGTATTACAATTATGAGTGATTATGTTAATATATTGAAAATATTTCAAATAACACCGTGTATAAGCTATATAAAACACAAAATTTAAATAAAAATACTTAATTATTTAATTTTTACACACAATAGAATCATTTAAATATTTACTGTATCTTAATATAATTATTTTCTATATAATAAATTTATTTATGTAATATTTTAAATTTTCAATGTAAAATAAATTTTCGTAATTATTTCTAGTTAACTGCTGTAATGGACAAACTCATCCTCCAATCGATCGCAATCACTTATTAAATCATCTCTTGTAAATAATATAAAAACGATATTATGCAATAATTGTATTTTTAATGAGAATTTTTCTTTAGCTAGTAACTGAATTATAATTTACGTAATTTGATGTAATTAAAAAAAAAATGTTATTGCGTTTGTCTTATTATCTATAAAGCTAGCTGTAGAGATCTTTTCTTAATTAAAACAAAATTCTGTATCGTCACTTCAACATTATTTTAATATTATTAGTTGTTTCAATATATAATTGCAATCGTGTACATACTATTGCATATTACACACATGATATTCTAACAAGTATTAAAAATTAAAATGCTATATAAAATTATAGATACAAACACGTGCGCACAAATCCGTTCACGCGCATAAACATATATATTAATTATATATCAACATAATCTTACATCACCATATATATTCATTTAATCCGTATCATAAAAATACAAACAATAAGTTTATAAAATTGAATCGAGCAACAACGATAATTAAAAAATTAATTTGTTTATATTAGACATATATTCATGTAAATAACAAATTTATAGTAATATCTTATGTAAAAATGTAAAATCTTATGTAAAAACAAGAAAACCGAACTTTAGTTTTAAAAAAATTAATATATAATATTATTTATTATAATTATATGTATATATACATTAAACAAATTGTGCTTAAACAGTTTCTCAATAAATATAATTTTTTAATAAATAAATTAATATATAATTCAGTAGCACCTTTAATTTCGTTTTTATATTTTATAATATTATCATTAATAATATTTATAATATATGTAATATATATCATGTTACGATTATTTGATTTAAATGTATTTATAATTTAAATGTATTTTCTCTTCAAAAATCCTTACAATTAACTTTTTAAACAACAATTAAAGCTTTTTAAACAACCTTTATAACATTATTATTTAAAATTTATTTATTAATTACATATAATTCCATACCGTAATATTAATAATAAAGAAAGTAATCAGCATTAAAACCAGTCCGTGTAAGACAACGATCTAACCTAGTTTAAAGTCAAAAGCATACTAAACATACGAAACAAAGGTAATGTAGGCATACTTGGATAGTTTTTTTACAATCTTATCAGCATTTCCTAAGAAATCGAGGACTTGTGAATTATGATTCACGACTACTGCATTAAATTTAAGTACCACAACAAATATGATAATTGGTGATAATAAAATTCCGATTTTACCAAATATTTAAAATGTATATTGTTACTCTTGAACTGTCATTCGTAACTTTAGGATCCTCTTACTATTATCTATGCTTTATTGCATTTATACATTAGATATTTGGTTTCTTTTTCATATCTTTTCATAATATTTTTTTATTACACATTATATCTATATTAAGCAAAGAATTATATTTTGTACCACAAATACACAAAATTTACATTTATCCTATAATTTATAAAAAAATGTTTGACATTCAAGCATACTAATTATTCGATTGGTGTTGATTTTTTGACGAAAATTACAGGTTTGGAAACATTTTTAATTTAAATTCGGATGCAAAAATAATGCCATAATTTGAATATTTTATTTATTTAAAGCTTCAGTGTAAATATTTAGTATTAATACTTGGGTGTAAATGAAAAATAATAAATGTATCTTTTCAATTATACTTAGATCGAATATAATAATAATTTGAATACTTTACACCTTTCAAAAATATCATTAACAGTATTACCAAATTAAATATTATAAATATCGATACTAATGTATATAAATTTAATTTCAAAATTGTTAAAACTTAATGTACATTTTTATATGTAGAAATTTATATATTTGTATGATTTTTTTTTCCTAAAATTTGTATGGTATTAAATATTATTAATATATATATATATATATATATATATAAGTTACATATCATCACTAAGGACAAAAATGTGTAATGCATTTTATTTATTCAAGTTTTAAGTATGAACTACATACTTTCTTAAATTCAATGAATGTTCTATAATTTAATATTCATATTATTTTATATTTTTAAATTACAATTTAAAATTATTTCACAGATTATACAGACTACTAAACATTCATTTATTAATTATAAATTATTAATTACTAATTCATTTTTTTTATGTGCATTATAAACATATTTATAGTAAAGAATGTATACTGTAATATAAAAATTAATAATTTGTTATGCAATATTATAATTAAATCCTGAAGATCAAATTCATATATAAATTTAGTTAAATAATATTATGTTCAAGAAATAATATTGACTTGAATATAAAGAAGATTAGTAGTTATAACAATTTCAAGTATCAGTAAATAGAAAATAAAAAGATAATCACATTTGGATCGACAATATTTCATTATAATAATTTTATACTAATATTTATAGTATGATTCATCATAATAATATTTTAATAATTTATATATAGTTTCTTCAAAGATTAGGAACACTTTAAAAATGATACATGCTAATAAACCTAAAGAACATGCGCGTATATGTGTGTGTGTGCGCGCGCGTGTGTGTCAGTAAAATTATGGTACACCACTTAGCAATTTTATATATTTCATCAAACTATAAATTTTTTTGTTAAAGATTTTGTTGAAATTGAAACAATAGTAATGAAGTAATTGACTGATTTTATATTTTAACTTTTAAAATTTTATTAAGAATTCATATTACATTTCACGATGAATAATTTATCCATTTCTTAACCGTTTAATATAAAAAACGTGCTCCCTATAACAAAATATATGATCACATAGAATTTAAGATTTCAGAAAAGATTAGTTTTCAATGCCTATTAATATTAATCAATTATAATTATAATCGAAATGAAAATTAATGTAAGGTTATTACAACTACAATACTCAATATATGGTGAAATTTTTAAATATAATATTAAGAAAATATTGAAATAAAAGCTTGATTAATAAATTCAAATTTGCATACTATAATCCTCTATTAAATTATTTTAATTACAATATATCTTATAATCGAATAATATCTATATCGAACAGTTTTAGAAACAATTTTTAATCAAAGTTATTTCAAGCTATTTATTAAAACTATATAATAAGCAAAAATACTTTAGTTTTTATAATACTTTTCAGATTTAAGATTTTATAAATAATCATCATATTTAAAGTTACGAAATTATTTTTGTTAACCAAAAAATTTAATATACGGATAACCTATTACTTTATTAATCATTTAATAAATTGCACTGATATTTTAAAGAAGTAATATTAAATTTCACGTACTGCAAAACCCACTTTTCGAATTTATCAGTTATATAATTATAATTTAAAAATTTATGGAATAATTCATTATTTTAACGATTGTAGCTCAAATTGCCACTGAACATAAATATTAATGAAATTGTAGACAATGTTGAACAAATTCAAATCATAAATCCCTTTAATGAATTTCTTTTTAGAATATAAATAAATATTTTATAATACAAAAATATAAATGATGCTTATGTTAATAATAATAATTAATATAATAAATATACAAAATAACAAAATACTTAATATAATGAGAAATGAGAATGTGATATTTTTATTTTTTTTATTATTAATTATTTAGACTGAAAAAATCTTCTTCTATACTGTATAAAATAAAATATTTATGTAAATTTATAAAATTACATCAATTATAACATCATATTACATTAAATTACATTCAAATTCACATTCGTTAGGAACTTAAATTACAATTTTTTAAATAATTAATCATTCAATAATTTTTCAATTGTAAACAATTTATAAAGACGAAAAATTGATCTTGGGGGGCGTTGCAATTAAAATTAGATATGAAAAATATCGGTACAATTTATTACATTTGAAATACCCATTCGAGAAATTGCATTTGTTTTTTAATAAAATATACGGTTTAGAAATTGACACCTAAATTTAATTTCCATTTTGGCTTTATAAGAAAAATTACTAATTTAATTGAAACTAATTCTTTATAAATTAAAAAAATATAAAGTGATCTTTTTATGAAATGCTCTTATTTTTTATTTAATTTTATGATTAAATAAGTCTTATTAAAAAATAATTATTATTTAAAAATTTATTTTCATTTCAGATATCAACATTAGATTTATTTATATAAATTCAGATATATATTCAGATATAATTTTATTTTTCATAAAATTATCTATATATAATCTATATCTATATAATCTATATAATATAATCACTTCATAGTTATAAATCAAATTATAAAATAACATAAAATATATTGACGATTTTATGATTTTAAATAATGGTAGAAAGAATTTTTTAATTAATAAAAAGAACCATAATATTAAACAAGTGTAAATCTACTGTATTGAATGAACGTATTGATAATTTTTATAAAATATACATAATAGCAAAATTCACTCAATGTTTACTTTTTAATTTACACTACAAAAATTAACTTTTGTAATAGGAATTAATAATATAGCGTGTATACACAGTATAATTCGATTTAATTCTGACTGAAAGTTGAAAGTAAGCAACTTGCACACAATTTATTTCAAGGTAAAATTTCTATTTGTTTCTAGTAAAATGTAAAAGTCATTATGATAAATAAATTTTATTATAATTTCAAAAAATAAAATACAATATTATGATATCGTGATTTTGTGTTTATAAATGTTTCATAATATATTTACTTACACAATATATTTACTAATATTATACATTTTCATGATGAAATTAAACATTCGAACTGTATAAGATGACTAAAAAGCATATTATTGTAACTTTATCATGAAATATGTCTATCAAAGTGAAATGTATAGCTTCGCTCATATAACCAACTATTCAATGATAAATAAATAGATACAATGTAAGCAAAAAATTAATTTCACATTGGCACGCAACTATCTAATCGTTTTTGCTGAAGTATAGACGATTTAAAATAATAATCATAATATTAATTATTATATTACATCATAATACACCGGCACTGAAACTTTCACGTTAATTTATCCACCAATCTAATGCTCTTCAAATTCGTACAAAAATGTCATTTATATCAAACGTTAAAAAGTATACGAAATAAAAAAGCTACATAACTTTAATAGATACAAGGATCATTGCAACGTTACTATTTCCAATGGAACGGTACGTTAATTTAAAATCTCGTGCTTCGAGACTGCACTTTCACATTTGACAAAAGCTCAACTCAACGACAAAAATAACAATAAGAAATAAGAAAAGTGACACATCCTAGGTTCGAAACGCGGTTCGGACCTCCTCCACCAACTGTCCACGAATTGTCCATGAAATGAAGGGATCGACGAAAATGGGATTTTACGTGCATAGACCTTGCCATACGAGGCGGCTACCGATCGAATTTACACACGGCAAGTACACGCGCAAGCACAACTACGCTAGGACGTGCGAAAAAAACGTAGCTGCGGCAATGACACTCACGGAACAGATGGCTCCTATCGCTTCCTAGCGAGTGACATCAGCAGCAGACCAGCACCACACGTACACACACCGGCCAGTGATATCACACAACGTGCTCTCGTGCACCTCTTGTCTGCACATATGAGACGAGACTCCCCCTCGTGCGCGAGTGCGCATCTATACGCGAAGCTACGCGTACTGACGTTCCTCTATGCACATTCACAGCCACGTTGTCAAGAAAATAGACAGAGCCTGCGCACCCGTCTATGCGGTAGAAAGAAATAGAGATAGATTTGTATATATATATATATATATATATATATACAGACAGAGTAAAAGAGAGAGAAAGAGAGAGAAATCACATGACAAATAACAACGGCACTTGTAGTAATAGCAGCAGTAGCGGTAGCACTGCGATTTTCTTCTTAGGTCCATAGATGATTGACTGACTCTCTCTCTCTCTCTCTCTCTCTTCTCTCTCTCTCTCTCTCTGTCTCTCTCTCTACCTCTCTCTCTCTCTCTCTTTCTCTCTCTCTCTCTCTCTCTCTCTCTAACTCTACCTTTACCTCTACCTCTTTCTATCTCTATCTATATCTCTCTCTCACACTCGCTCACCCACTCTTTCTACCCTTACGTTAGGTTTGTGTGTGTGCGCGTGCGTGTAGGTAGGCATACATATTACATACAAACTTATATATCTTCCTCCCTTTCATTTCTCTCCTATTATCACGAGTTCTCTATAGTGGGTGTAGATGTTGACTCTCTTACATTTGACCGGCCCGAAAACGAGTCGTTAAAGGAGCGAAAGAGTTGAGCCTACACATAAAAGAATAAACAACTTGAATAAAAAAAAGAAGACAATATGTAGCTAACGAGACTCGAGATAGGATACAGTAGCTGAAGAGAATAAAAGACTCTGTGTGCGCGTGTGTGTGTGTATGCGAGAAATAGAGAGTTCGTAAGAGGGAGAGAGGGTTGGAGCGCGAGGGGCTGCTCGTTTCCTTCGTCCAGCTCGAGGGTCGAGTTGTTCCTGGCAACGCACGCATGTTCAAGAGAGAGAGATAGAGATGGGGCGAGACTGGTGCGCAGATGTGTATATGTCAGCAAGTGCGGTGGATATCGTACTCGGGCGAGTTGGCGTACGCCACCTTTCCACGGGAAAATCCATAAACGCCGCGTCTGCGCGAATGGCATTATGCGGAATGACGAGCCGCGTGCAATGAACGCCGCCCGCTTCTCTTCCTCGGCCTCTCACCCTTCGATGCCTGCACCTCCGCGGGACCCCGGTCGTAGGCGTCAGCATGCTCCTATCAGGAAGGAGTACGAACAAGACATGGGAAACAGAGGCGGCTTATACCGTTTCGCCGCGTACGTCGCGCCTGCTACTACTGATGCTGTCTTCGACTGACGGAGCATCGACGACTACGGAAGCCGAAAGTGTCGAAGCTGTTGCAGACAGAAAGTATTTGTATATTACAGACACGAGAGAAAGATTATTTATGATATTGATATGCTATTTAATGCTAATTAACGCGAGACATTTCATTGTATTACTCAATTCGCTTAAATGAAAAATATTCGAAAATACAACTGCACCCGCAAGATTCATTAATTATCTTAGATAATTGCTATAAAATATTAAAATGTTAAGCGCTAGTCGTTGATATTCCATCAAAAATTAGTTTTAAAAATCTCGTAGTTCCATTGCTAATTTTAAAAATTGACATTATTAAACTTAACATTATTAATTAGCTTTACATGGAACTTTTGTAAAAATATATACGAGCTTGACTGATTTTTACATTTAAGACTTTTCTTAAAGTAATGAAAGATATTTCGATAAATAATATCGGCATTTGAAAACTATTTTTGAAATATAGTAATAATGTATATTTATTTAAGTATATTTATAAACATTAAAGGCTATAAAAGAAGACAATATTTTTTACAATATTAAAAGTTAATTTAATATAAATCATTAATTAATCCAAAACAATAAAATTAATGTAAAAGAAGATATTAAAAATTTTTAATTTTAACGAAATATCTGGTTAAAACTACTTTATATAACAACAACATGGATTCATTGAGTTTAATTTAATGAATTTTCTAAAAACATTAAAGTAAAATCTTATTTGTGAAGACTTTTTTTATTTACAAATAATGAATAATCATAATATTAAATAAAAAAGTAATTTATAGTGCTAAGACCATTATTTAATCGAGAATGTCATTGCTCTAACATTCTGACAAATAAATCGATAAAAGAATTGCTTTAATCGTACAATGAACGGTTGAGTAATAAATAAATAGAAGTAAAACTCTCAAAAATCATGGAATTCTCAATAGTTTACTGTGCAACCAACTGAATAAAGTACTTAATACGCGATTGGAAAAGTAATGATACTTGTATATATTTGTATGTAATACTTATATTTAATTAATATGTAATATTATTAATATTAAATAATGAACTGTATTGTGTTATATGTTATATGTTATAAATACAACATACCATTATTACAAATGTTGTATCGAGAAATTTATGAACATTGATTTATAAAATAATATTAGTGAATCATAACATTATACTCGTTTTTATAGATTAAATCTTATAAATTGTCATAAAGAATATCAGAATATATAAAGGTATTTATGAATTATGCATGAAAGCATGCGACAATTTGTTGAGAAATTTAAATAATTCCAGGTATAATTAAATTTAATTGATACAATTATCATCTTATAGTATTCATTAAAAATGTAATTCCTAGTAAATAGTAGTTTTTTAAAGTACCTAACTTAAAGAAAGTTTTACAAAGTATCTTAATTTAAAAAAAATAAAGTACTTATTATTATGATGTATATATAAATACGATCGTATTTTATTAAATAATAGGATTAATATAAATCTCTAGAAAATAATTCAAATATTAAAACAAAAATTGTTTTTTATTTACAAATGAGTATTCAAATTCATAAATATACAAAGTTATTAATAATGAAGAAAATTAATTTGGTATCAATTTATGATTTTCAGATGATTCAGAAAATAAAATATATTAAATATTAAACTAATTTTCAATTTTTCATTTTTTAAATATGACTGCAAAATCCATGTATTTAAATAAATTCAATTTATTTATAGGTTTTTAATATTAATAATAATATTATATCAATATACAAATATATCAATATGCTAATGTGTGTGGGTACGTGCGCGCGTGCTTGTGTGCGTGCGTGCAAACATGCGTGCGTACGTGCGTAAGTTGGTGCACGTACGCATACGCATATGTTTGCGAGTCTATATATATATATATATATATATATATACATTATTTAAAACAACTATAATTAAACAATTGTATAATATTTCATAATAATTATCTAAAATTGTCTTATGTTTAAACAATTTAAACTGACACACGTATACATGCCCTACTTTTTATTCTTTTTAACCTATAAATATCAATTACAAATGGCTATTTTAACTAAAGATAATATTCTATTTTCTTTTTGAAGGATTGACTTTTAAATTCCTGATTGTAGAATGTTATAATTACATGGATTTTATTTAATAATGATAAATAATTAAAAATGTTTTTATTTTACATTAATTTAAATATGTATACTTATTTAGGTTTTATGAAATCCTTTAATAATCATTACATTT